CAAAGATTCTAGCATTTGGGAGGAAATTATCCATTCTTCCTTTATTTATTCAAGAAACTTTATTTAATGCCTACTATGTGCCAGCCCTATCCAAGAAAAACAAGTCCATAGACTCTCGGAGGAGGAGGTGAGGAAGTCATTTTAAGCAGACAGGTCATTACTCCCAGACGGCCCTGGATCAGCTCTCCCACGTCCCAAGGAACTCGCCCAGAAGGCACCTCTCTGCCTTCTCTCTCATTTTCTCCTCCAGTCCTTTAATTCTCCAGACATGGTTCACTTTAAAACCAGCTACCAAAGGTCACAAAATCTCTTGGAGGATACTCTTGACTTACTCTTGCCTAGGGGCAGAGGTCAGTGATTCTGACCCTCCAGTCAGGAATCATGACCTATTAGAGGGTGGCCTTCCATAGGAATAACAATATGCTTTCCAAAGGATCCCCAACCAACTCCTGTAGTCATCAATTCACTGCAATGAAGTGCAAGATTAAGTGTTCAGGAATAGAATCCCCAGGGACCAGCCCTGTAACCTGGTGGTTAAGTTCAGCAAACTCTGCTTCAGCAGCCCAGGTTTGTGGGTTTGGATCCCAGATGCAGACCTACACCACTCATTAGCCATGCTGTGGTGGTGACCCACATAGAAAATAGAGGAACACTGGCACAGATGTTAGCTCAGGGAAAATCTTCAGCAAAAAAAAATTTAAAAAAAGAATAGAATCCCCAACAGTTACCTCAGATATAAAGAATAAAGTTTGGTTTCCTCATTACGTCTTTTAGGACTCTAAGAAATTAGTATGAAACAACATTCTCAACTCTTCTTCCACTTACTTACTATATAAGTCCATCTAGTCTAGTCAAACTGGTTTAATATCTGGTTGTTATCCTAATACTGCCTAAGGCCATTAATCATTGTATTCTTCTATTTCAAAAAAATGAGAAATAAAGCAAATATAGTTCAGTGCACAAACTACTCATTTACTTTTTACCTAATGCGTGTAAATGCATGTCTTCACCACCCATACTAAGGTACAGAATAGTTTCAACACCCCATAAGACTACCTAATCTGCCTTTCCAGTTATCACCAACCTCAGAGATAATTATATCTGTTGTATATTACCATATATTAGTTTTCTATAATATAATTTGACATGATTATCTAATAAGAATGAGACAATGAAAGAGAAGGGTCACATGGAAAGGAAAGCATACAGGAGTTCTTTCTGACCAGGTCCCACTTTCACTAGCCACTCCACTAAATACTAAATACTGTGAACTGAGCCTGGGTTACCATTTAGCTATTGTGATGACCCAAATTAATAAATATTGAATCCACAGTTTCACTGTTATCTTCATTCCTTTCATTATTTTCCCAGTAGCATCTGTGAAATAAGCTGGCCAACATGTGATCCAGGAAAGAGAAGAAATTTCACACTGACTTAAAGAAAAAGTATCTTATAAAATGCTTCCTTTTATTTAACATGAAAATATGAAGATAGAAAAGTATGTTTAAAGAGATCATTTGAATTTTCTGTTTTAATAGTAATATACTGTGTGCTTTTAAATGATGATACAAACAAGCCTCTAGAATGCTGCTCTGATTTGTGTAACTCCTATAGAGAAGCTTCAGAATGGCATTCCAGCATACTCCCCACAAAATAGCCTTGCATTGAGCCATTGGTCAGGAGACTGAGTCTAATTGTTCAACAAGCAATAAATTTACCTAACCATACTATCACTGAGCTCATGATAATTTGATTTTTATTTAAGGGTATCAGAAGATAATGCATTAAAATCAGATATATTATGTCTATGGCATCCTCTGACTGACCGGTATAGTAATCCATGAAAAAAAGAAAAGAAATGAGGTCAATTTGACAAAACAGTATTACCAAATTTCTACCAAACTTACCTCATGTCTCTTGACAATTAATACATTCATTAGGTGACACCTATATGCAGGGAACCACACTAAACTAGAAATAGGAAACAACTCCAATATAAAGTTAATTATAATCCTCGGCAAGGAAGACAAAAATATGGAGATGGCTACTACCTAGAGTCATGTCAGGATGAAGACGTATTTCTCTATCAAGAGAGACTGTAAGTGGGCAGAATGGAAGTTTGGGGCAAATGTGCTGGATGCCCTCACCTAGTAAAATATGATGTAAGATCCCAAGTTAGGAGAGTGAGAGGCAGAAGAGTCATTTTGGCAAAGGTACCAGGGACCATCAAGTATCTCTCAAAACCAAATATCTAGGACTGAAATGTGTCCAAACTTACAAAGCTCCTTCTACTTCTACCACAAACTTTATTCTTGCTAAAGCTCAGAGAGAAAAAAATAGAAGTAACAGCCAAACAAATACCGTCAGAGCCCTGTGTGGAAAAACAAGGAGTCTGATCCCAAGGGGCACCAGACGTAGCACGCAACAACATTCCAAATGTTACAAGTCCTCTTTCTCCCTTGACTGGGAAAGACTTTCTGATTCTTTTCAGAAGAGGACTTCTCACACAAGTCTTCTTTTCCCTTTTGTTGATAGGAAGAAACTTAGAAGTCATCCAATCTCAGTAAATATCAAATCAATCCCTATTAATAGAAAAGCCCAACTCAGCATTGCATTTTCACTGGCCTGAAAAATGACGCTTAGAACAATCTGGCTGGAATTAGAGTTCAGCTTCTTTGTTTGTCTCTAGGTTGAGCAACTGTTAGTCTTGTGATGTCAAGAAAAATTATAATTAAAGCACTGAAGAGGTTAATCCACACCTACTCCTGATGTTTTGAATGCACATTTTAAATGTATTTTGTAAGCATTTGTCAAAGAAATCTGCATACACATCTAGCTCCTTACACATCTCATTTCATCTATTGCATGATGGAACACTTTATATTTGCTCAGGCATTTGTGCTGTACAGATGGTTCTTCATTCATAATGGAAAGGGAAAAAAAGATTCGCTGGTTTTCTTTTCAACCTATCTTTTCATCTATTTTGTGGATGTATAACATTCCCAAGTGATTCAAAGAAGTGGCATTTTTTTGCTCTTTTTCCCCTCTCAGCTGCTAACTTTATTTTTAATGTTTGAGGCAAAGTTATCTCAGTCTTACCCAGTGGAATGGAACTCTCTGGCCTTGACTATTTGAGTCAGTCCAAAATTGCTTCTTGAGAAAATGTTTGCATTTGCCCATAGCCCCGGAGCCTAACTTTATTTGGAAAAGTGGTGATCTTCCTTTCATGTGAAAACTGATACCTCATTATTTCACAAGGCTGTCCATTTGAATTCTAAGCCACTCTTATTGTTAGAAGTTTGCTTTTATGAACCACAAACCCAGGAAACATATCATTGGTCCAAATCTGACATCTGAACCTGAACAGATTCGGTCTAATGCCCTTTCCATATACAAATATAATCCTTTAAGGTATCTAAGTGATATGCTTGCTTTTTGTTGTTGTTGCTTTGTTTTGTTTTGATAATGAAAATGTCCAGGGAAAATAGTATTTTCTGTCTAGGGATAGAAGTGCCAATTCTCTTCTGGTTTTTCATTGAATTGTCTGTATTGACTCAAATTTCCTGTTTGAGAAGTGAGAACATCTACTTCTTCCCAACTCTAGACTTCACAAACAAATACAAGACAAGATGATTATATTTTAAACATCAATTTAGTTCGTCAATTCTATAGCAATAAAAATAGTTCACATATTAGGAAATTGGAAGTCTCTGATCAGTCAGGAAAAAAAGATATGTGATTTTATAGGATTCTTGAGAATTCATTTTGTAAGAATGAAGGAACAAGGCACTTTTACTTAAATGTCTAACTTAAATTTCCCCTTCTCTGTGAAGCTTTCCCCTCCCCCAGCTTCCTTCAACCTTCAGTCATTATCTGTTTCCCTGTAATGCTTTGTTTGTGCGATGGCCACAGCCTGAACTTGTGCTTTGGTTCAATGTGTACAAATCTGTCTCCCAGCTAGATGGAGGGCTGCTGGAGGACGAGAACACTAACCATATGTTGTATCCTTGGAGCCAGGAACAACGTGATGGACCCATAGATATTAATTGACTTGAATTAGAAGTTGAATTAACTCCATTTCCCAAAGACAAGCTGAATAGACTCTATTGATTTGTTCCAAGGTCACAGATGTTGATGGTTTAGAATGAAGCTGATTCAGCTTTCCTGGTCTCCATATCTAGACAGGCTGATTCAATACACACCATTCATGCACTTCATGAAACTATATTCCTAAGAAAATCCATTAAGCTATTATATTCCCAGTATGTATAATATTTGTATTTTACAACTTAAAAATGGAGCACATCGGGGCCGGCCCCATGGCACAGCAGTTAAGTTTGCATGTTCTGCTTCTTGGCAGCCTGGGGTTCGCAGGTTCAGATCCCGGGTGCAGACATGGCACCGCTTGGCAAAAGCCATGCTGTGGTAGGCTTCCCACATATAAAGCAGACGAAGATGGGCACAGATGTTAGCTCAGGGCCAGTCTTCCTCAGCAAAAAGAGGAGGACTGGCAGTAGTTAGCTCAAGGCTGATCTTCCTCTGAAAAAGAAAAAAAAAGAGGTCAAGAAGGATAGGTGGTTTGCTTAAGAAGTATACAGCAAAGACAAATATACAAATAGGTCTTCACTTAAAGTTATATAAGATTTTGTCACAAGAGATGAGTTTTTTTCTTTGTACTGGTCAAAAACTGTAACTCCTGGGTACCAAATTGCCTGCTCTAAGAAACTGAGAATGGAACTCTGAGAAATATTCTACTATGTTGTCATGAACACAATAATAATAATAACAATAACAATATGATGATTATGATGATGATAATGATGGTAGTAACGATGATGATGATTTAGTTTTCCTTACTAGCAGTTGCATCCCTTTGCTTTCAAGTATGGGAAAATCCTAAAAAATAAAGTGTAGGAGCAGTTGAGAACATGAAGTTGATTCCAATCTGCTCATTAGTTAAGGAGATAGAGGAAATCATTAAATTCTAACCTTTAATTTTACTGATTAGGAAACTGAAGCTCAGAAGAGATGAAAGGCCACTTAATTGGACACAGAGTTTCAAAGCATCCTGCTTCCATACACTTTAGGATTCGGTACAAGTTTCTCCAGGATTATGTACAAGTTTCTCATGTGTTCAATGTCTTTTAAAATAACTGGCCCTATGGGGCTCAGTCCCTAAATCAACAGGGATAGTGAGAGAGAATAAGACAGAAGTGGTTTGACACCACTGAAATCCATGCCTCGGTTGATTGTTTCCTTGGCTCTGCTTGGCAGCTATATGGACCTTGTGAGGTAAGCACACTCATTTCTCTTCAGAAGGGCAGAGAATGTAGGCGTCTGCAAATCAACTCCCTGGAGGGATGAAAAGGCATAGTTGAAACACCCAAGGGCTACAGATCTCATGTGCCTCATATCTTCTTGCTTATATGTTTCTTTAGATGAATTCAGAATTTTGTTGGGTATCATTAAAATCCAGAAAATCTTTGATCACCCAGTGGTACCAGTGTCTTTCAACAATGTCTTAAGCTTAGATTTTGTGAGATTGGTATCAGTAATCTGACACAAAAATATCTATTTTTGCCCTTTGGATATATTTTTTGTTCCTTTTGTTTATTATTAAACTACTCTAGGATAACAGAATTAGCTTGCTTTATTTTTATAAGCTTATAGTGATCTCTTTGCCCAACTAGGAAAATCCAAGAAAATATCCAGGTAATTAAAAGGTATGACTCATGATCTAAAAATTGTATGAATGGCTAGGTATTTCTAGGATTCTGCTGAAAATGACTCATAAGGAAAATGTGTGGCCATTCATGTACACATCTGAAAGCAATTTTGATAAAATCTGTTCCCTTATCCAAGAGACAATGTGCTCTGGGAACCCTGGGCTGCCGAGAAGCGGAACGTGCGAACTTAACCTCTGCATCACCGGGCCAGTCCCAGTTCTTGACCTCTTTTATGACTTAAAACTTAAGATAATGGTTATTACATATATATGGTAATAACGATAATAATGATGAAAATTTTTAATAATTGGTAATGGGCATTTCATATATTTTCACTCAATTTAAATTTCTCCATGTATAATCTTTTACATTCTCTCTCAATTGTAACGCTTTACATAAAGGAGGGAATTCTAGGCCTGTTTCCAGGCTTCACTGCTATACGCCAGATGCCAAAAACACACACACTAGAGTTCTCTGGAACTCTCTGAAGAGGCCATACGGAGTATTAGTGATTCTTTTCCCTGTGTTCTTTGTAGGAGGTAGTCCATCTATTATTGTTGTATTTGAGTTTTAGCTCAAGTTTGTATAGATTTTTAAAATATTTTAGATACAAATACGAGAAGTCATATTATAAGGAAGGGTTACACAACTCCCTTCCGTTATTCCAGCTATTGAATCGAATGCTGCCAGCTAATGTAACACATAACATAAACACGATTTCCTTAGTCATTTACAGCAACATTTTCACAGTGACGTGAAAGTTATCTTTCTAAAATGCAAATCTGATCATGATGCTGCCTTCTCTAAAACACTTCAGCTGCATCTTACACCTCATTGTTGAAGTTAAAACTCCTTAGCATGAAATATAAGAACCTCTGTTATTTGCCCCTGCTTATTGCCACATCCTGCGTTTCTTCTCTGTCTTATAGCTGAGGCTGCAGCTTACTAAACTACTTGCAGTTTTCAAAACATGCCGTACTCTCAACATCCATTCTCACCTCTATTCATGTTGCTTGGGATGCCTGGAGATTCCTCTTCCACCTCTTCACTGACCTAAATGAATCAGAGGTCACACATCTGGAAATGTCAACCATCCAGAATATTGACTAGACTCTGGGATGAAATTTAAATAGGTCCCCAAATAAGCTAAAATCTATGTTACAAAGACCAAAGAGACACTAACTTAGAGCCTGCTAATTCTAACTTCAGACAAGAACTATTATCTGGTTCTATGTTTATAACAGATTAGAAATAGCAACCTCAAAAAAGAAGTGAGGGGCCGGCTCCGTGGCCGAGTGGTTAAGTTCGCACGCTCCGCTGCGGCGGCCCAGGGTTTGATCCTGGGCGTGGACATGGCACAGCTCGTCAGGCCACATTGAGGCGGCATCCCACATCCCACAACTAGAAGGACCTGCAACTAAGATATACAACTGTGTACAGGGGGGTTTGGGGAGATAAAGCAGAAAAAAGAAAAAAAAAGAAGTGAGCTAATAGAGAAGCCCTGGTTATCAGCAAGAGCCGAAATATGAAAAGCTGGACAACAGCAAAGGAAGAGACAGGAAAAAAATCTAAAAACTTTTACAAAAGTTCACAATATAGAGCAATCTACATCATTCAGAAATAGTTGAATTATCTTTAGAGTATACTTAGTATACATTGGTAGGAAATTTTATAAGACATTTTATAAAGACTATGATAAAATGTTTAAAAACCATGAAAGGGATGGTATATAAAGAATAGGACTTTAAACAGATTAAACCTATGTGGAATAATTGCATAATTCTAGGTAAGCATGGTATTACTTTATTTGGAAGTCTTGACATAGAAGAATAAAGCTGTTCTCTACATTAGGGAAGATTCTAAATCAACAATGACCATATGGTTCTTTCTTAATTGTAGTGAATTTTGACAATACCTTTTCAAAGGAAAAATGAATATTTGTATGTCATTAGGTTTTTATCCTCAGCTATACCAATTCACGATATTTCTATTTAAAGAGAGTCATAGGTGCAGGTCTCCATATATGATAGCAGTTTCAGTTTGTTTAAGGTATATTCTAAAATATTACCATAGATATTTTATGCTGTAAATACTTGTAAGGCTGGTGAAAGCAAGAAAACCAGGAGACAGGGTCTTCTCAGGTGTTCTGGTAGATATCAGAGTCCACGTGGTTGTAAGAATGCATGAAAATTAACTTGATTGAAGGAAATAGTAGCCCAGAAGAACATTCCATGCCTCAGCATAGTTCCTATGCAAAATTTAAGAAAAGAGACATTTGCTTTCATTAGTGCACATTTCTGTAAAAAAAATCCACAGGGTGTTTCACATTGTGTCACAAGAAAAGGAGAAAATGTTCTCAATGACGAAGGGTCACTTTTTCTCTTAGCCTTAACTAGATATTCCTCATGGGACAAAGGATATCACTACTCATTTCCTTCTGAGCCATAACTAGAAAAGCCCTTTCATTTTACTGCCTATTATCAAGTAGGGGTAAAAAGTGAGTTTCCTCTAAATATTTCTGATTCACATTCTCCTTTTTCATTTCTCCTTTATAACCTGCTTACACATCACATAGTCTGTGATTTAAGGTTCTTCTTGCAGTTCCTTTTTTAGCATCCCCCCTAAAAAGATACCATTTTGTCTGTCTTTTTATATACATAATAAAATATATGCATTGAAAAAGAGTGAAAACACATATTCTCTGTAGCAACTTGCTATCTCTCTTCCTAAAAGAATGAATCTTTTAAAAAAATTAATTGAGTATTAAAATGCAAACATATCTAGTACATGCCTGGGAAATTTATAATAAATTCAGAAAATAATCTTCTTACAATAAGTCCTCAGTCAATAGCCTAACGTCATCTGTGCCTTTACTAATAATCCCCACAGCTGTGTGATGCTGAGAGTTGGGAGTCTCACTGCATATAAGCAACGCTGAAGTAACTGCGCCTGAGGTAAGATGGTTCAAAACGGACCCTGAATCTGTACGGGGAGTCCACTTTTCAAAACTATCTTCACAATCTAAATGGCATCTGGGAGGAACAGTTTCCTTGGACAAATTGCAGCCTTTTCTAAGAACATTCTCTAAATGTGGTTCTGTTGGAGATAGAGGCCAAAGACTCAAGTTTGATTCCAGGGCCTATCACTTAACCTTACAAATTGTGTGACCATGAGCTATTTACTTAACTTTTCTGTGTTTCAGCGTCCTCATTGGTAAAGCACGTATGATAATAGTACCTACACCTCATAGGTAGGTACTATGGGCATGTTAAGGCACTTAGTAGAAATTCCTGGCATACAGTTAATGCTTGATAAACTAGGTTTTTTCTCTCATTAAGGCAAGTAGTTATGTAGAAAAGAAGGCATTGATAAAATTAAAAATCCCTTGTGGAATCCATTTTCATTACCTTTAGGTGATAACATTAGAGAGTACACAATAATATCATTCCTCTCCTCAGCCATATATGGTTTCATCAGCATCATTTCAGGAAGATGTCTGGATATTTTGCATTTTTTTAAGCCAAGTAAGGATTACAAAACAAAATATTTGAGTTCCAGAAATGTCGTCGCTAATGGAAGGCTATCAGATGCTTTGGGCCACTCTGAGAAGAGCTGCTTTCTAGCTATTACTCTCCTGAGACCAACGCCACACCAAGAATACAGACAGAACCACGATGTAAACACAGAAGTCAGTTATCAGTTCTGTGTAGTTTCCTTTCAGCAAAAATTAGTACTTTTGGCTTGTTCTTCCTTGTGAAAAGCAGCACCAAAGAAAGGATGGAAGAGTTTCAAAGATTTGATTAGTTTTGTGGAGTAAAGAGATAACTGAAGTGAATAAAATGATTAGTATGGGACAAAAAGGAACAGGTTAACTCAGTTTGGATTCTAAATCAGATTTTTGAGGTCACCTGACTTAACTCAATGAAAACCCTCTTCATTCAAAATCCTTTACACCAAATAATACGAGAAATGTGAATAATCATAAAACAAAGCAAGACAAAAACTGGGATGTTGGGAGGACATATTCAAAAGTATTGGCAAACGGAAGTTGTGCTCCCCCGAGAAATAAAATGTTAATACATATGAACAACAGAGTGTGGACTGGGGAAATAAACACCACACCTCTTTAAATTGGCCAGGGCAGAATAAAACAACAGTGCATGACTCTGCTCTGCTCATAGCCGTCTTCTCTCTCTTGACCAATGAAAGTCTTGAGTTTTTATTTCAATGATTTAAGATTTGAATTTCCTCTTTACATTTTCTAAAGAATAAAACAGTAAATATCACTATTTTGGAATGCTGTGGTTTAGTTTATCAAAAGAGAGGACAGGGCAAGGGGATGGGAACTAATATGGATAATTTTAACTCTATGTGCTGCACACAGAGATAACCTTTTTTGATTCGTCACTTTGCTAAGTATTTTACATGAATTATCTTGTTAATCCTTATAATAATCCAATAAAGTCTTTTTTCTTTTGCTATTTTATAAATAAGGAAATATTCTCAGAGGTTACGTAATTTGTCAAAATAAGCTCAGTAGGTTGTAGGAGGCAGAGGCCAACCCAGATCAACGCGCCTGTGAACCTTTGCTCACTGCAGTTCACCATATTGCACAGTCAGCCAGAGAGACTCTGGATAAACTCTTCCAGAGTCTGATTCCTGGAAAGACCTAATGGCTAGCTCTCTAAAGAAGGCTGCCCTCCTTCTGGGGGGGAGGCATTGACCATTCTAGGCAACAATGGTAGGCAGTAAGCCTCTGCTCAAGGCTTACTTCCTCCTTTTATGAGGACTGAATTATTCTCCTGGTTCAACCTAAGAAGCCTAAAACCAAATGCATTGCTTCATTGAGCAGAAGATCAGTAATGAGCATGTGAAAGGATTCTTGGCAGAGAGGATTAAAAAGTAAATAGCTTGTTTGGAAAGAGTATTTGAGCTTTAGAATGGAATGGAAATTATACTTTTATTAAGTGGAGGAATGTAAATTTTGGCACATAAACTTCTTGCTCAAGAAAGAATTTATCAATCCATGTTCTGAGTTGTAAATAATTAAGCCAGATTCTTCCCGGAACCCAGAGCCCTTTTTGTTAGTGAAAACCCAGAGGCCTTTTTGTTGGAAAGCACTCCGGACTTTGCTGTTCCATTCTTTTCATCAGCACTGACAATGGCTGAGAAGAGACTAAGATAACAATGGACAATGGGACTTAGCTAGGTTCTCACATTATTCATTTTACCATTTTGTTCCAGCTCAAGTTCCAACTCTGTTGTGTCTCATCCCCAATCTCCTCTTCTAGACTGGGTATGAACCTCACCATCTAGCTCTTCACCACAGAAACTTATATGGATTAGTAATTATCTTATGTACTTTACTTTTTATATCTCAACTACATTGTTAACTCCTCAAGGCCCAGGATCAGGGCATGCATGTTTTTTCAATCTTGGGATGGAATGACATAGTGTAAAAGTATTTTACATGCCATAAACCAAAACAAAGCGTTTGGTATCCTAAGCTTTCACAAGCCTAGCACGGTTCTGGGCATACAGAATCACAGCATCTTATCACAGCAATGAAAAGAGCTGAGCCATTTCATATTTGCTGGGCACTCTTCTAAGGGCTATGTTTGTATTACTTTATTCAGTTCTCACAAGCACCCTGTAAGGAAGGGAGGACAGTCTGCCCCAGTTTGGTCTCAGAACCTACTTCCTTAAGGCTGCTATTTTGCCACCTACTGAAAGGACCCAGAGCTGGGAAGAATTTCAAGTCTTTAATTTACAGTTAGAAGAGGTGAGGACCAGAGAGGTAACTGGCTTGCCTGTGGTTAAATTACTATTAAATGGTAGAACTGAGCTAAAACCCAGTTTTCTGGTCCTGAGCTCAGAATTCTTTCACTACAACATACCTGCCTATATGGGAGGTAATCTATATATGTAATTTGTGTGCAATTTTAATGTTTTAGAGGAAAATTGTAGTAATCTCCAAGTTTCTCGGTCCCTTGCATACTTAGTTCATGGCACATGCGTTATCCTTCATAAAATATTAATACATAATAACTAATTATTTTAAAGGTAGCATCCTTACTACTTAATGTTGAAGGAAAGCATATTTCTCAACTACAAAGTGGAGAGGTTGGCTTAGAGTAGTGAGTGATTTGAGATTCTGCTTGATGAGGAATTTCAAGAAAGATTCTGCTTCATAAGGATTTTTCCTAGCAGAAAAAGAAAGGTTTCAGGGGATTTTTTATTTAATTTTTAATGTATTTTTACTAACCAAGCATTTCAAACACAAAGAGAAGTGTAGAATATATTTTTCATGTAAGCATACATATGCAGAAATAACTAGATTAAACATACGTCAATATTTTGCTGCATATGGTTGAAAATTCCATTTAGAAAAAATAATGTAAGAGGAATGCTCATGCCCCACTACTCATCTGTTTCTTCCTCTCTCTAAATGTGATCACTCTCCTGAAATTGCCATGTATTTCCCCTATGCATGTCTTCTATACTTTTGCGACATATGTGTGCATGTAATCATAGATAATATACAATAATTTTCTATATTTAAAAATGTATATGAAGGGCTAAATATTGTATGAGTCCTTTTCCGCCTTACTTTATTCACTCAACATTATGTTTTTGTTTCAGCTTTTAGTTAGAAAGTGTTGTCTTTAAGTATATAAATGATATCCTTGGTGTTAAGGCATATGACAAGTATGAGCATAAGATATGATTATGGAGGAAAAACATACTTAAATAGCAGATCCTGGTAAGGCAAAGGCATGTACCATAAATCACATATATTGTAATCTTTAATGTAGGTGGTATACTTCTTAAATAAAGGTGAGAAATTGACATCATAAAACTGGAGCACAGATAGAACAATATCAAGTATTACACTCAGAGAAACAAGCTGGAAAACCTCACAAGAGAATCTAGGATATGGGGGAACCACCAAAGAAGTGCAGTGAATTCCAGGTGCTCTCGGCCCTGAGTCCTGCTCAGCCCTTCCTTACCAGCCTGTGCCCCTTCAATACTCGTGCCCACCCTCATCTCCTGTGCTTACAAAGGCTCTTTATCCTCTCTCAGCCTAGTTCTGAGGTTAAGCCCTGACAGGAGATGCCAGGGGAACGTCCCCCTCTTCCTTTCCCTTGAAACCTTGCAGCCCAATAAAAATCTCCTAACAAGCCCTCCACCTGTCTCAGGAGCTCTGTTGCAAACGTCCTCCCTTTGACAAATTATCTTGCACTTCTTACTTGTTGCATTATTCATGCTTTTAGTCCCAGAAAACTCCTCAAGGCATTTTATTCTTTTTGGCACAAATTTCTCATTTTCCGTATCAGTTGTTGCGTGGCTAAAGCATAAGCAATTATAAGTAATTTTAAAATTACTTATTAAAATGGCTTCTCCAGTGATATTTCTCTAGGACTCTACAGTCATACCATATAAAATGTATGATACTGATTTTATAAATAGGTAAAAAGATTAATAAGAAAGTCTGAAAGTTAGAGGGACCAATAAGAGTGTTGGTCTCTAACTCACCCAAATACTAGATAAATGCCGGAAGTACCACCACAAGGGCCAACTACCTACAAAGTAATGTTTGGCTTGTGTATGTCACTCAATAGTTTACAAAGCACATTTGTTTACATTACCTTATTGATGTTCCCAACAGTGAGAGGTTAAAAAAAGAGTCATATTTAAAGCTTCAGACTACTCTTCCTTCTATTTGCCTCTGTCTCCACATATATTGCTCATCACAGAGCACCCAGACAAAAAGCTGGATTGAGGCTTGCCTTTTGAAATGCCAAATCAAGGGGAAACACGTGGCACACCTGAGAAAAATGAGCGTTATGAAAACAGTCTTCTCTAGAGGGGCCTGCTTACCCTCTGATAAGGTCCGCTTGGCTGCTGACGTTTTGATGAAATATTGAAATTAGGGATAATCAACCTAGATATTTGCAATAATATCTGGACAGTTTTATAATTCTGAACTGCGTTAGGAGAAAAAAAGATTAGGTGAGAATGTCCTAATCTACACTTGGGACTGACGATTCTGTTTGTGCTCCTGTAACCCCAGCCATATGTCCCTGATAGAAGGAGTGGAACATGGGGTGGCCCATAATAATTGTTCTGTCTCTTAGCCACATACACACACTGGCACCTGGAGAATGTTCTCTTGCTCCACAAAAAGCTTAGATGTGCCTGGGATTTGGACATGTCTTCTCTAGTCTATTTAACTCGTCTCTTGAATGCCGTACACAGCAATGCTATGGTCTTAATTGTGTCCCCCCCAAATTCATAGGTTGAAGTCCCAACCCCTCATACCTCAGAAGGTAATTGCTTTTGGAGAGAAGTCTTTAAAGAGGTAATTAAGTTAAAATGAGGCCCTGAGTGTGGGGCCCCAAATCCAATATGACTGGTATCCTTATAAGAATAGGAAGTGATACCAAGAGTATTAGAGGGATGACCATGTGAAGAGGCAGCAAGAGGGTGGTCATCTGCAAGCCAATGAGAGAGTACTCAGGAAAAACGAACCCTGCTGGCACCTTGATCTTGGGATTCCAGCCTCCAGAACTGTGAAAAAATAAATTTCTGTTGTTTAAGCCACCCAGTCTGTGGTATTTTGTTATGGCAGCCCCAACTAACTAATATAATGGCAAAGAACATGACTCCTGGATACTTCAAGGGCACCCAATGGCCTACTCTGCAATCACAAGAAAGTATCACTTGGGGTCTTGAGCTCTCGACACCCTCATCCAAAGACCCTCAGTCTTTGTGATTTATCCGCCACTAAGACCATGTCTCCTCTTTTGTTTGGCTTTGCACATGGCTTGTTAGTCATCTTTGATACCAGACTTGAGAAGAAACAAGTTCTGCGTTGTCTGGTCTCAGGGCGTACCACCTAAAGGTAATCAGATGTTTTCCTCGAAAAGTAACCCTCTGTCATCAGATCTTCTATGTTTCATTGTGCAGAATATGTCTATCAGTTTTTTCACTGTGATTTTCACTGATAAAACAACCCTCCTTTATTATTTAAACTTTGATATACAACACATTCAAGAAGTTTCTTGAATTGGTTTTGGGGAGGTTTAGAAAATTCATCCTACCACATTCACAGTACTATACAGTTAAATTTGGCATAAAATTATATCCTTGCAACTGCTTATATCTGGTATTTGAAATTACTTTGCAGGTTCAAATTCCTCCTTATTAAGATGCTAGTAATAACAAGTAACCAAGGTAAGTTTCTGTTTTCATCCTACCTGAATTCCTCTTCATCTGGTTTCTGTTTTCCATGCTGTTCTTTTCTCTTTGGGAATTGATCCCTTCTCTGTGTCTGGATCCTCACTTCTCAATCTCAGCTTATACAGTTCCCCAAAACATATACAAGAACAACATTTAGCAATAGATGTCTATAGGAATTTTCATCTTGTAAAACCACTGCTACCTATATATTTATTGCCCTGGAAATGACACCTGCCTGTTTTTCAACTGAGCAACACTTCTCACTGAACTGGGCACTTGTGCCTTTCTCTCCATCATGTTGGGAGGAACGGAGGATCATTATAAACTCTTCATGGGAAGAGCCATTTCCAAATGGTATCTGAACTGAAAGCTGATCTCATGGTGGCAGGGGTGATATTTACAATATTTAATAGCAAGTAAGGTAATAGCACAGACCAATCAATAATGATACTTAATGTTATGTAGCAGTAATGAAGCATCTTCAAAATGATCATAAAAAAGGCCCAAAGGAACGTTAAAGTTCATCAGATATCTTCCTGTAGTCCTTGGCTTTGTTAGAAGCATAATTCCACACTTGAGAAGTGCAGGATCATGTCAGAACTATAGTAACCCTGTGCCCCATTGGACTGGTACCCTTTGTGATATTCCTGACACTGCTAGCATCAGTTCTCCATCACAGACTTATATAGCTTCATGAGGCTCTTCATGAAACTCTTGTCTTGTTCCTGCCTGTTAAGTAGATGAATCTTAATCTACTAAGACAAAGGTTGGTCAACTAGGACCCCACCCATTCATTCACTTATTCCACAAAAGTTAACTGAATTCCAAATATGGACCAGGTACTAAATTTATTTTAAAAATTTAATGAGTAAATGAAACATTATGAATAGGTTTATGAGTGAATGAATGACTAAAGCCATTTGTTCGCTAATTCTCTTTGTAGCACAAATATAAACTATTCTCAAAATAAAAGGCCTTAACACAGAATACAAAGTGGGCAGGAAACCTGCTCCCAATCCAGAGACAGGGAGAACAGAGAAGGGATATTTATATCCAAGATATCACTGATAAGACAGTGTTTCAGACACAGAAGCTGTCACTACTTGGAAGAGGAAGAAAAAAATGTTACTAATTCATAATGGTGGCAACTTGTAAGGCTACTTGGCTCTATCAGAAATATTTGTATATACTCTTCTATTTTCAAGTTAATCTTGATTAGAAATCCAGCAGTCTGTTGTAACTTACCACAACCCTGAAGAGGTATATGTCATTCCATTTTACATATAAAGAAACTGATTACTTTGTAGCTTGCTTATTTCTCAGGTCTTCAGTTGCAGATTATTGGTTTAGTTCATTGAATTTTGCTGTATTTGGGCCTGAGCCTGGGACCACAACTCATCAATCTAACACAAGAAGAGTCAAGTCATAAGCCTATGAAGCCTCATTTCCTTATCTGCAGAGTACAGGCTGAATTAATGGGACTGTGTTGTCCACAATTAGAGAAGCAGTTGTTTTGTTCACTCATTCTGGAACTTCCTTTAGAATATGAAAGTCTTGAAGACAGGAATTATGGTCATATTCACATTTGCCTGACACATGATAGGTGCTAAACAAGTGTTCTAAATGGCCGACTGGCTGAATCAGTGTGCTCTGGACAGACCTCATTGAGACCATTGGATTTAGTACTGGGCACATATTTGAAGAGGAGCATGGACAAACCTCAGTGAAAGTGAAAAATGCAGGGAAGAATCTGGAAACTCTTCATGTGAAATGAAGGAACTTGGGGTGTGTAGCCTAAGAAAGAAATGTGCTAAAATACAGGGAATAAAGGTTGTCTCAAATGTCTGAAAAAAACAGGTGTAATATGGTGTTGGTGGAATAGGTTCCTCCCACTGACTGCAAGATCCATGACAGCAGGGAATATGCCTTATTTATCATTTTCTCCTCAGCACTTTGCCACAGATTAGGCACTCAATAAGTATGTATTAAATGATGAAGAAATGAAGGAATGAATTCATTAATGAGCTTCAAAAGGTAGGTATGTGCTCAAGTACAGGCAGACCTTCATAAAAGGGGAAATGATAAAAACCGGAATGACCTGCCTTTCTGAGTGGTGAGTTTTCCAGTATTTAGGCTGTGGAAATAAAATCTGGATGATCATATGGAGGGTTTCTTTCAGTTGTAAGATTTTCTGATCTATGCACTGGACTTTCAATGAATTACTATATATTTTCTGAGTCAATTGGTTCTGAAAATAATACTGAATATGAATGTGACTGATATTCACCCACATTGCTTCACCAGTGAGTTTATCCAATCATCTTGCAAATCATGGTGTTGATCCAGGGGACACCAGACAAGAAGCTTAGAGACAGGAATCCAATCCATCATTGCTGCCAAAAGAAAGACACAATGACAATAACAAGACTTCAAAGTACATATTTTATTAGACCCTTTTTTCATAAAGCACTTCAAACAATGAAAATAAAGTTGAAATAAACAATGAAATAAACAATGAAACAATGAAATAAAATTGTTTATAAAAATAGACAAAAACATTAAAAATCTATTGCATTACAGATTTCTGTTTAAAAATTGCTACAGCATGTGGTCTGACTGGAATGGGCCATTTGATGTAATCCTATATATGATATAGTTTTAGGTAGTCCTTTCACAGACATGCTTTGATTATCTACAATTTTATTTGTTAAGAGTGTTTTACAGAGATATATTATATCAACCCCGTTGCTCCAGGGAATTTCCAATTACCTTATCCAATATCCAAAAAGTATTTATTTTTTACATCCCAATCATTAAAATATTTATATCTTTTTCTAAAGAGAGGACCAACTATCAAACTCACATCTTCACAGTTAATTATAACTGGGCCTCTCTCAAGGTCTTTTCCTGTATAAAGTACTTAGTCATGGAATTATTTCTACTTGAACACTGTTTAGTCAGGGTTGTAGTTTTTCTAAGACTTTTTTAAACACTGGAATGTTTTGGAAACACAATCTCCTTTATTAATGTAAGAGCCCTGCCCGTAAACTTGAGTTAATTCTGTTGAGTCAGGACTTACTGATAGATTCCTGAATTTACCCAGAGCTTTAAATGTTGTATTCCAAGTGCCCTTTGTCCCAAAGGAATCAAAGAGTGCATTAATACAGTTGTCACTGTAATATTTAATAAGGATCCTTGAGTAAGATTTTAGAAACTTTCCGTCTGAAGGTGTTTTTCGCTCCTAAATAATATAGAAGTTATCAATATACAAATAGGGCTGAGAAGGCAGGAAAGCTGGTCGATTGTGCTTACTCTGCATTCCCAGTACATAGAAAAATGGAATTTAGGAAGTAATTTAAGTTTTTTAAGAATTTAAGAAATTCTTAAGATGTGTTTTTTCTGCTATGTCAATAATTATTTGTTTGCATGCTTACCTCCTCCACTAGATAGAAAATGATGTAAGAATGCCAAGATTTTCTTTATTTATGTCTCACACCACTCACGGTACTTTAGACATGATAGACAATGAACATTGTTTCCTCAGAAGTGTTACTTCATATATTGTTCTAAGAATAATAGGTCTACTTCCATTATTTTGCCAATGAGAAAAAAGAAGAGGAGTAAAAAGAGGAAGAGGAGACGCGTGAGTGGAAGAGGAAGAGAAGGAAAACGTAGCAGATGAGACTGACATTGAGTGGGTTGTCATAATCAAAGCAATAAATTCCCATTTAAATTCTTTTGGATCATTGATGACACATACGGTGCCTGACTTGGCACAAATTAGTGTCCCTTAAATGATAATTGATGGGTTGGTTGATAACTGTATCCATGTTAAGTCACTGTCATATTGTAAGCAATCCTGAGAAGGATCTTCAAAGACCCATGGCAAAGATCACAAAGTTAGACAGGTAAAAGCTTTTCACACCTTCCCCATGTTTTAAACTTAATGTGCAGATGAATATGCCTAATACTGACCTTCACAAACCAAAATAAGCACTTTGACAAATAACCTTTCCATAAACTGGCCAGTAAAGTCACAAATTGGCCTGACCACTGTATTTTTTTTGACTGAATTAAGTTAATAATTCAGTGTTTTATAGTCAGAGAAACTGGTGATTGAGTAACAGACTTACAGATATCCCTGCAAAGACTATCCACAACAGAGCCCCATGAGTTTTATTGGGTCTAGTCCTCAGCCACAATTTTAATCAACAAGGTTTGCTCTCAGTATCTCTCTCTTATCAACTTTTGCACCTTGTATTCACTTTAAGTTTTGCCCTTTTCTCAAAACAGTCTGTCTCCAAGTCCGTGACACATTCTTGGTACTTTTCAGGGCTTTCTTCATCTATAAAAACCTCTCATGTCCCCTGGCTAACACAGGTTTAATTATTGTGGTTATTTGGGCTATGGTGCAAAATGCCTGATAATGATTTACGGAGTCTTATACTTCCCAGGTGCCACTTTCATTTTTAACAGTGTCTTTCAGTGTTTTGTACCTGGGGTGACCAACTGTCTCAGTGTGCTTGGGACTCTCCTGGTTTCAGCAACGAAAATCCCAAGTCTCAGGAAACCCCTCAGTCCTAGGCAAGCCTGGAAAGTTTGTTCACCTTAGTGGCACTGAAAGGAATCTGTACAAAATGACAAATGGGGAAGAGTTTTTAGCCTTCTCTCTCAAATTGCAGTTCCCAGTTGGAGATTTTTCTGCCTTTTCTCTCAAACTCCTTTTCTGGAGGATCTACTTGGCCTCTTCAGGAGTTCAGCATGTCCTGTCTTTCTTCCCCACCCACCACACTCTTCAAGACAAATTTCCCAGATTTGCTCAGTGTGTTTTCTGGGTGATCTAAGCCTTCCGTTATTTTAGTTTGCTCAATAAGAGATGTGTGCCTTCCCAGGCATCTCAGTTTCCACCAAACAAAATAAACAAATAAAGAGGTCCAGATTCATGTCATAGTCCCCACCCATGACTCAGTCTGTTCTTAGACTGTCTTCATAGTTCCCCACCTGTGGAAAGAACATTCTTTATCTGCAGCACTCAGACCCTATAGTGACAACAAAGAAAACTCAAAGGAAACAATCTGCAAGTATGTATTATCTATTTTTCATGAGTTCTAATAAGCTGACTCTGATGACATATCTTGCCTGAGGTATAAGGACAATGTCGTGAAAGAGTTCCCTCTGTCTAGGTCTGCCATCTCTCTACAATGTTGCTCATTTTGTGGCTCTGGGACTCTCATCATTTCTCAGGCATCTATGATTTGCCTGTGATAGAGAAACAAGGAAGCAAAACTTTAAAAAGCTCATTGCAGGACTGTTTAAAATGAATTTGAACAAAGTTGTTAATTTTAGTAAATAAAAAACAAAAATTGACTACATCATTTTTGTTATGGGCTAAATTGTACCCCTCCAAATTCATAGGTTGAAGTTCTAATCCCCACTCTCCAAAAATGTGATAGTATTTGGAGACAAGGTCTTTCAAGAGGTAATTAAATTAAAATGAGGGCACCAGGGTGGGCCTTAATCCAATATAACTGCTGTCCTTAAAAGAAGAGTAGATTGTGACACAGACACATGCACTGACATAGGGAGAAGATAGCCATCTACGAGCCAGGAGACAGGCCTAGAACGGATCCTTCCCTCACGACCCTCAGAAGACACCAACTCTGCCAAAACTTTGATCTTGGACTTCTAGCCTCCAGAGTTACGAGAAAATAAATTTTTGTTGTTTAATCACTCATCTGCGGCACTTTGTTATGGGAGCCCTAGCAAACTATTAAAATTTTCTAGTAGAGAAAAAGAGAATATACTAAGTGGTCAAAATAGAGCTCTCATTAAAGACAGATTTAGAGCCTTGCTCGAGGCAGGAACCCAGGGTGGGTGGATTAATTGCTTGCATTGGGTTTGCAGCTCTCACATCGAAACTTGGAGCCTTATCCATAAGCACACAGTAATCTTCTTAGCAATCAAAATGAAAATAAATACAAATGTTCTCTAAGAGTGTGAAAGGAGGACTTTAGACATTTTTTTCCAAACTATCAGTGAACCTCTTGACAACAGCTTTAGGAATGTAACGTCAAGTGCTCTCTCCTCGTCTTCTCACAAATAACCTTGATCACTAATCTCTTATCTTGCCACCACCCACGGCATTCCACTCCACCCTGAAAAACATGACAATATGGTATTCCTCTCCAGGCAGGGTAAATTGCAAATATAAGTGAACACATATTAAATAGGAACTATGTATTAAGAAAGAAAATACTTATGGGTTCTTAACAATGAACAGGGTGAATTGTATGATAGGTGAATTATATCTTAATAAAGCTGTTATATATGTCAAACAAACATACACACCACCTTTGTCAGTGTATCTCTTTCATTTTGCCCTATTTTTCACTGATGTCTTAGAATCATCTAATTCACTTTGTTCATATTGCTGTTCCAGTTTCCCCTTGAGCAGCATTGAGAGGTTATTACTGATTCCAAAGAGGAGATAAAAGTCTCCAATGAAAAGTCAGATGGCTGAGAAAGATAGAAATACCACTGACCTTGGACTTGCTTCCATAATTTTATTCAGAGAACGTTCAAAGGATTTTGCCATGCTGTTTTTCACTGGCAGGTGATGCCACTGGATCCTAACTTTACAATTTTTTCAATCAGTCATTCTAGGAACTCCTCCTCTATCCCTTTCTCCCAGTCAGCTTCTTGCTGGCAGCAGGTGAGGTGCATCTAGTAGGTTATTGGTCCTGCTTGAGAGTGAGCAATTAAGAGTAATAGGAGATCTCACCTGGACCTCCTAGGCCAGGTGAATCAGTAGTCTTGATGGGCTTTTAGGTGACTCTGTCGTGTCATCAGCAATATATAAAGTAGTATGCAGTTAGATATTGCTGGTGAGATTCCATTTACTTAGCATTTTATTTAGTGCAGAATTTTATAGAAGCAGGCCCATTGCCCAGTCTCATGAGAAGGAGTCAGATGACTAGCTTCTTTTTTTTTTTTTTTTAATTGTTTTTTTAAGGAAGATTAGCCCTGAGCTAACTACTGCCAATCCTCCTCTTTTTGCTGAGGAAGACTGGCCCTGAAGTAACATCCATGCCCATCTTTCTCTACTTTATACATGGGACGCCTACCACACCATGGCTTTTGCCAAGCGGTGCCATGTCCGCACCCGGGATCTGAACTGGCAAACCCCCAGGCCACCGAGAAGTGGAACGTGTGAACTTAACCAGTGCGCAGGGCCGGCCCCCTAGCTTCTACACTTGAGGGAGAAAGGTTTCCTGGTATAGGAAATAGTGCTTAAGTTCATCTCACCTCACATTTTTTAGTGGAAAATTGCTGTTGGCCTCCCCAACATCCAACTCCTCCCATTTCCAGGAACAGATCTCAATTTCACCTC